GGTGCCTCTAGCTGTATTGCCGCCTGAGGCATGCCGGGGGCTGCGTCTGGTACACACAGGCAGTGGGGGAGGGGCTTTTGGCAACCTGGGATGCTCTGCCTGGTGTCCCACCCAGCTCCTGGCAACCAGTGTGCTGTCACCGGTTGCCAAGAGCTGGAGGAGACGGGCAGCAGAACATCCCAGGCTACTAGGAGCTGGGCAGGTAGATGTATATGCCCCTTACACTTCTCCTCGCTCAGCTCTTAGCAAGCTGGGACGCTCTGTCTGGTAAGGGGGCGGCAGGCACAATGCAAACACTGTGCAGCGGGGCAGTCATACTATTCCAAAACAAAAAAAACAAAAAAGAAGTTTTGGCTGAACATACACTTGACGAAAGTGGGTGGAGCCATGCAGAGCAATTCTTTATACTGAAGTGCTTCACTTGGAATTCAGGTTCTGTATACTTTGCTCACGAGGTGCACGGCCTTCTGATCCTTTCACGGACAGATGAGCACTGTGTCGGTGATCAAACATACACAGCATGTACATTGTGATGCAATTCTAAATGTATGTCATTGCAACACACAAACATTTGTTAATGTGCATTTCTGCCAAGCATAGGTCTTAAAGGGGCCTAAAGCTCTGATTTCACTCTGACTTTTAAAATCTGCAACATTTTCCGGGTATTCAGTATAATTCATAGCTAGATATAGTAGCCAGGCAGTTAGTATTTCCCGTGGCTGTCAGAATACCTGAATAGTGACAGCATTCAATTGGCTGCAGTCTTCAGTCTGTTCAGCTGACAATTTTCCACCTGGCTCCTTCGATTTCTGGATTGATGTTTGCTGAGCCGGGTGTTGATGACAGAGCCACCCACACAGCTCGAAGTTCGGCTGATACAACATGAATTGTCCAAAATTCAAGCCATGTAAGGCTAGCATTAGAAATAACAGACTCCTTTATTGATGTTAGTCTGCAATTTGTATACAAAATAAATCATAACAGACACATTTTAATGTTCTATAGTTTCTATTTTAATAAATTAAAAAACATAAAAAATAACCAAAAATTGTTTTTTTTTCTGTTGGGGAAAAAGTACATTCACATTACAGTGGATGGGGACGGGCGGAGCTAGAAGAGCAGACCCGGAGCAAATCCCAGGTTCTAATTCTCAGAGGAGTCGGTCTCCTCGGTGGAGCCATCACTCTCCAGGTCCGGGCGTCTGCGGCTGGGTAAAGTCTTCTTTGGGGAGGCCACACGGATGATCTCTCGCGGGGGAAGTGGGCAGGGTGCAAGGGTCTGTGTTATGGAGCAAGCCGACAACTGGGCAACACTGCAGTGACAGACAGAAATGTAATGTCCGTAAGTAACACAATATTTAGCTTTTGTAAAGATATTATGAGTATAAAATATAGTCATCGTATAATCTTCTTAGTCTCCAACTCCCATGAAGAATTTTGGATTGTGTCCTCCATCGCTTTTTCTGCAGCCCCAGCACTCAATGAACAGGAAGCTCTCACGACAGAGGTTTCCTGTTCATTCACAATCTGCAGATGGTAAATATTTACTACCAACCCAGTCATGAATGGACAGGAAGCCTCTGTACTGAGCTGCATCCTGATCATTCATAAAGTGAGCAGATAGTAAATATTTACTATGTCCACAATCATGAATGAACAAGAAGTGATGTATTGCTCCTTCCTGTTCATTATTAACTGGGGACATAGTGATTACTAACATCAAGGGATCAGTACAAGGAAGGATCGGTAGATATTTAACATATTTACTTGTCCTGAAGCCCCGCCCCCTCCCACCTCAGCTTTCCGCCCCACTCGGTCTCCTGACAGCTTTTCTCCTCCTCGCTTGGCGCCAGAAGCTGGATTGGCTCAGTGTCCCCTCCGATCCCCGCTGCCGACACAGGCAGGGGAGAGCAGCGGGGATTGGAGGGGACACAGACCGAAGTGTGCAGCTGACGCCCCGCGGAGAGAAGAGAAGTTAGGGATGCACCAAATTGTCGGCCATTTTTTTTTCTTCTATTGCCATTTTGCTCATAGTATCCTTTTTGCCCAAGATGTTTTGGGTTTCATCCCTAATTGTCACCATCAGTAAAAGGCCCCAAGAAATGCCATGTAGCCATTGTTGGGAGGACATGAAAACATGGAGTGGCTGCAGAGGGACTGCAGGAAATCAGCAGCAGTGAGATAAAACAGGTGAATACAAGTATTTTATATAACTGTTCATGACACACTGAGGTGGATTTATGAAAGGAAACGCCATTCAGTTTGGGGTTTAGCTACTTAAACATTCCACTTACTTACATTTTCCCAAGTTCATTATCCAGAGCTTCATCAACTAACAAATCAGCTTTATCAGGCAAAGCCCCTGTAGAGAGAATATTGGGAAACAATGACAAAAAGATAAACAATAATATCTGAATTCACTTGTATTGATCGTCCCATTCCCTTGTTTGTATGGTGATGCTGGTGCTGAAAATGCCGGTCTCCATCCATCACAAAATGTCTTGCTCAACCCTCCCACATGTATGAATGAGGTCCTAAACAGCGTGAATGGAGAATTCTCCCTTGCTGGCTATTGTGTTCAAACAGTCGCTTCTCCCACAGCTGTCAGAATATCTAATCAGTGATTCCATCTGAATGGCTGCAATCATTATTCGGCTAAGATTTTTCTGCTGAGCTCTATCAATTTTCAGATCGAAGCTTGTTGAGCTGTGTGGTATCAGAGGGCCACCGACTGATCAGATTTCAGATGATTGAGCAGGAATCGGCTGGAATTGGTGGGTGGGTGTGTGTGTGTGTGTGTGCGTGTG